GGTTCTAAGTGGGTTGATTTCAGTACTAAAAAGTGTGACTGCATAATCATCATCCTGAAATGTGGGGTGTTGGTTGGATGGCTGTGATCAAATCTCCACATAGTGAATCAAGTTTGACTTTGTTGCTTGGTTTTCAATCCCACTCAGTCCTGTTTTAATGGAGCAAATTGTATATGTTCTCCCGTTTCTCTGGTGGGATAGAAAAATCCTCTAAATACAGTCCTGTATACACACGTATCCCAGTCTGTACTCATACGTTTGTTTTTTTCTTTTTCCTTCCAGAACTGGAGATAAGAAAGCTATTGCATGGAAGATCTTACCAAAGAAACCTTGTAAAAATCTGATGAACACTTTAAATAATTTATATCAGCAACTGGCAGAATGTGAGTGGGAAAGTACATAAGGAGATTTACATTGGATATAGTGTGCCACGTTAACAGATAAATATTGCTCATTAAATATGTTCTTAAGTCAGCTGTTCACTAAGCATAATATTTTTGTACAGAACAGCAAAGTCTGTACTTTAAGTCCAGAGATTAGAACCCATTTAGGGTTTTTTGGGGTGGAGGACATTTCCATATATATAAGGCAGTTCTTAATAGATATCCCTTTGTATTGATGTTACCTCATACCAAAAAAAATGCAGAGCTTTTATGAGAAGGGAATAGTAAAGCAGAGTGGGCCAGGACCTAATCAAGACCTTTGTTTCATCTTCAAATGTCTGCTGATGTCCTGACAATTGACATAACTTTGACACTCAAGCTGATAATACTTTATGTTCTGATTCCGTGTTGCTTTATTAATGTAAATAATTTTTGCACTGTATTTGTTTTCCAGCCTTTATTTTATAAAGAACAACCAAAAGGCTATAATAGGATTTTTTTTGTTGCTGCAAGTTTATCTCAAGGATACTTGAATGTGGTAGACTGAGGAAAGAAAGTACCTGACATTTTAAGGTGGAAATACCAAATGTTTATAAACATTGTGGTTTTAAATATATTAAAATGTATTTATTAAGAAGCAATAATGCAGTTGTAACACCTGGTGACAGAGACAAGTAGTTAGACTTAAATCAGAGTGTGAAAAGGATGGGGTTGATCAGTGCTGCATGTTTGAGAAATACTTACCTGGAAAGCATGAGATCTTTGTAGTTGTCACCTGGATTTAGTGCAGGTTGTTTTTAAAGGCTGTTTACACCTTCTTGACTATTGAGGTTATTAGAATTTAATTGTGTCCTGATTAGAATGTACAGAAACAGAAGTTTATTGGGGTGTGCTGCACAAAAAAATGTGTATAGCTGATAGGTGATGAAAATTCTGTTGCTTCAAAATTTTGATATATTTTACTGTGAGGATTTATTTAGAATTTTTAAACCTTATGTTCTCTATAATCTACAAAAGTAGAGTGGAACTGATCTTCAATTCTTATTAGAGAATAAACTGTTTAAAAGTGATATCAGTATAAGGTTGACTATAATTATGTAGAAAGACAGTAATGAAACCATCCTTTGACTTTTTTGAGACATTATTAGAACGTTACCATACTTTGTGTGTAGCAGTGAAGTCTTAGCTAGAGTTCTGATGGCTTTGAAATGTTGATACAAGTATCTACTTTAAAAATAGGGATTTTGCTAGATCTTTAAAAAAAAAAAAAAGCCTGCTTTCCTTCTGTATCAGTGTTTTGCATTGTGTTGTGTTTTGATGGCTCCACTTTGCATCTTTGCAAACCACTTTGCATCCACTTTGCATGTTTTCCTGTGTATGTAGGTACTTGGTATGTATAGTCTGCTTTTTGGGAACACCTTTTATGTGTGATGTATGTATTACTTTTTTTTTTTTACAGTGCCTTTCATTTCAATCTATGTGTTTGTCCCCAAAATATGCTTCTTTAATCAGTTCTTGTATAAATTTTCACATATTTTTACAAACAGCTTTCTTTTTAAAGCTCTATCCATACTGGTTCTCTCTGTTGCTGTAGTAACTGATGTGCTGAAAAGGTAAATGTATCTTGCTTTTGGTGTTATCCAGAAGTACATGAGTTGTATGAGGTCAAGCTGAATCCATTATTACGTGTCATGATTGAATTTAATTGCATGTATTTTAATCTATTCCAAACTTAATGGAGCTCAGTAATTGGTGAATATAGTAGGATAAGGAAATTTTTTTTTTACCAATATGGAGGGGAAAAAAATGTAAAATCTTATAATGTTATTTTTGTCCACAGTGCAACAGAGACCAAGAGAAGATGCATTAATGGAATTAGCAATGAATGACTATGATTTTAATTCTGGGAAGAAATTGCATCTGTTAGATTTGGAGATCCAGGAAGCATTTCTGTGTTTCATGGCCTCAATCCTAAAGGGTTACAGGTCTTATCTCAGGCCAATAACAGAGGCACCCTCTGAAACAGCCACAGATGCAAGTTCTCTCTTTGAACTACAAGGTGAAGAGTTATAAACTTGTTTTATGTATGTCAACTTATTATTTTAGATTCTCTCTCAATAAAGAAATAAAAACGTTTGCAGTGTTAGTGTTGTGAATGATGGTAGAAATGTAAGTGCAGAAAAAATTGCATAGTAGTGGCAAAGGTTACAGAAAGGTTACTGCTCATTGGTAGAATGTATGCTGACTTTTGGGGAGGGCTTTTGTGTTTTAGGCATTCTGACATGCTTCTGATTTCACTTTATAGGTTTCCTCAAAAGTCGAGATCGTTCGCACCAGAAGTTCTACACATTGATGACCAAAACTCAGATGTTTATTCGCTTCATCGAAGAGTGTTCTTTTGTCAGTGATAAGGACGCGAGCCTGGCATTTTTTGATGACTGTGTGGATAAAGTAAGCACATCTTCATATGCATAAAATTTTTTAACTTCTGCTGTTGCTTACATTATCTGATACAGTACTGAGACACTGGAATTACTAGGCATTTCAGATACCATGGCTATGAAACTAGGTTTTCATTTACATGAGGGAGTGGGTTCCCATGTAAGATTTCTTTTAACAATTAGAGATTTGCCTCATCTTCTCTTTCTTGATTTCTCTTAATTTCTGATACTATGCTTAACAGTAACATATAAAGTCAAAATACTGGAGTATACCAAGGACTGCTATACAAACTAGAGCTTTATCCAAGATGCTCTACTTTGACCAGATACCAAATTTCAATTATTTCAATAAAGTGAATATTTATTTATGCATTAATGTATTTTACTAGGTTAACCAATACCTGAAAGGGTATGCATGAAAGTGATGTCATGGGTTGATGATGATACAGCACTTTCTTATGGGTAGTTATAGACCACTGCATTAAGACAAATTTTATGTACTGTGAAATTAGTTATCTATAAAATATAATCTAAACCCTGCCTCAAATAATTTATAAGAATAGTTTAAGCTGAAAAGTAATCTCTTCTACATGTTATTTTCTCCTAGAGAGCAGCAGCAGAGATTGTAATTGATTACCCATTTTGTCTATTGAAAGATATGGTGTAATTGTCTCACAAGTTTTCAATTTTCCAGGAACTCAAAAGTTATCTCAATTCAATACATATTTAAGCCACTGGCTTCATTGTATTTCAGTGGTAAAACTTGTAACTGTGGGGTTTTTACATCCTTAGAAGTATTTAAATTGCAAAAGTTTCATTTATTTCTACTTTTCAGGAGCCATATGTTCTTGCTACTTGGCTGGTTCGATTTGCTAATGCTTTCCATCTGCCTCATGCAGTAAAATGTGTAATTAAGAACACCTCTTTGTATGTTTATCAGATTTTTAAATACTGAAAATTTCTACTGAAACTACTTGATATACTTCCACCTTCACTGGAGGGAGGGAACTGTGGAATATGCTTCTTTTTGTACACTAATTCTCTGTTGCTAAACTCTTAAGGCATGAAGAGCACACATCCTTGGTTCCACAGGTTGCTTATTCATTTCTTTGCAGTAATGTACCATTTGGCTGTAATTTGGTTGCCATTTAAACAATTTAAATAATGGCTATAAATGTAAACTGTGGCAACGTTTGAGCCTAACACTGGGACTGTCAATATGTGAATAGAAATCATGTTCTGTGTGCTAGGAAGTAAATAGTTCTTGATAGTGCCAACTCTTTGAGATGTAGATGTGTCTCATGCTGAAAGCAGAAGCAGTACTTCTGAGGTGCTGAAGGAGTCAGAGTTGGTGACAGAAGAGCAGAGACAAAGCAATACAAATGTCAGTATAAGTATCAAGTAAAGGCTCTCAGGTGGGACTTGTAATATATGTTATATTTGGTCTGTTTCTAGTGGTTTCTGTAACATGAGCAGTAGCAGTAGGAAGCTTGTAAGGTAAAGGCTTGTCTGTTCCTTTCCTCAAAGGAAAACAGTTCATAGTTTCCCAATATCTTGCTTGGAATGTTAGTTTCATTTTGATTCTTTATTTTTGTCTCAAGCAATTGAAAGAAATTCTTTCAGTACAGTGGTTGGACAGTTTTCTCCCACTTGATCCTGCAGTTTGATGCTTTGAAATTTGCCTGAAGCCTTGCACTGTCTTTAAAGCAGGGGCATTAATTTGGGAAGTGCAAATTTCTCCTCCTCTCTGAAGCAGCCAGGCTAGCAAGGCAGAGATTTATAGTCAATTGGCCAGTTACAGAACAGGTACAGCTGTAATTTATGCTTAATTTTTTAGTGCTTATATTACAAGTTGCCTTTCTTACCCATGAACTGAATTTGTCCTAGCTGTGAGAGGACAGGACCACACAATATGTGCTGTATTTTCATGGGTACAACTGTTGAGTTATCTGAAAGAGAGAGAAATCATGAAGCTACCCTTCACCTTTCAGGTTACTGTTTTTTTAGGGGAAAAAACCTACTTCTGTCTTCTATCTCCCTTTAATTTTAGTGAGGTCACACAGTTTTATTCCATTATCTCTTTGACTGCATGTGTATTTCTACAATGCCTTTAAACTAGCATCACCTTAACTATGTAAGTGACTGGAATTGCTAGGTAGTGTTGTTTCTAGACTCTGTATGCATCAGACAATTGGATAAAGTTTGTTATTGTTTTCAGTGGTTAAAATAGAGGAAAAAAAATGAAAATAAAATACATTTCAAGTTACTGCTGCAGTTGGAAACATAGTTCCAGAATTGGCTGTATTCAGAAAAATTAACCTCTTTGTAGAACTGCTTATAATATTTAACTGAAAACAGTCAATCCAGAGTATATATTATTGTATTGGGTTAAAATTTACAAAAACAATGCAACACGTAACTGTTCTCATTATAACTTTGCAAGTCATCCTTACTTTTAAGATGCAGTCCTTTGATGCTGATACAGACTTGATGCTTGACCATATAGCTGTAACAGCAGAAAATCCAAGAACATTAGTAACTACTTTTTCTTTTAACGTGATTTCTCCAGGTAGATATGGACAGAACTGGGGAAACACGACTGATAGAGCTGGATGAGTCATACAAGAGTGAGCATACGGTTTTCATAACACCACCCGAGATCCCTCATCTGCCAAATGGTGAAGAGCACCCTCTACAATACAGGTAACCTCAGGACACAGTAGGATGCGAGCCAAAATCTTAACAGCTGCCCTTGTAGAGTTTAGTTTCTAGGTTCTCGTGATACTCACAAAGTACAGGGGTTTTTTTCCCCTATCCCTTTATGTTGCTAAAGTAAAAATCTATGTAAAATGCCTAGTGTGCAAGCTGTTCTGAAGTCTTAATCGTTTTGAGTGTGTGTGTGTGCACACAGAAGCAATAATACTTACTAAATCTGGCTGTGTGTTCGCATTACAGTGTGCTAGCTCTTGACACTGTGTGAAAGACTGACTGACTGACTGAGAGTCTTTCTTCACTGTGAGGGTTGTCAGGCACTGGAACAGGTTGCCCAAGGAAGTTGTGGATGCCCCCTCCCTGGAAGTGTTGAAGGCCAGGTTGGATGAGGCTTTGAGCAACCTGGTCTAGTGGAAGGTGTCCCTGCTGATGGCAGGGGGGTTGGAACTGCATGAGCTTTAAGGTCCTTTCCAACCCAAACCAGTCTGGGATTCTATGACACTTTTTAAAGTTAAAATTGAAATGAATGGACCCAGTCTGTTGGCCTGCTGCTACTACTGATAACAAACCAAACCACAGATACTCTTTGGCAGGAGAGAGTACATTTCAAAGAATCACTGAAAACTGGTGTTACTGATTTAGTAATTATGTCAAATGTGTTTGTCTATTGGTTTATTCATTAATTCTGAGAAACATTAAGTCTAATCTAATTTAATCTTCTAGATAGTTTGATATTGTTCATATTGATTTTTATAAACTTCTTTTATGTGATACTCACTAGAAACTAAGCCACATGATTTTTTTTTATTAACTATAATAAATATTAATGCATTTGACACATTAATTAAAGAAAATGCCATGAAATCAAACTTATTTATTGATTTAAGTTGCTTACTCTGAAATAACAGATTAAGAGACTGTTTGTACAGGCTTATGAAATCATGGTTTAGTAAACCACTTTGTCAACCGTGTCTTTAAAGGTTTACTTTTGTATTTTCTGTTTCCTGTGTAGCTTCTAGTGCAACTGTGTAATTGATTTCATTTGCTATTATGTGACGTGTTTACTCTGGAACTGCCTTACAGGAGTTCAGTGACACATTTCTTTTACAGCTATAATGGATTTCCTGTATTAAAACTAGATTTGTTTGAACGACCTGAAGGATTTCTCACAGCACCAAATAACAAACTGTCCTCAAAAGCCAGTAGTCCCAACAGCCCATCACCAATGTTCAGAAGAACTAAACAGGTACTTGCAGGTGTTCTTGTAGTGTCTGAGGTGCTTTGGCAAGTGACAGCTTGCCACCTTCCTCTTGGGTTTGGCTATAAAGAGTGATCAGCAATGGCAGTAGCCTAACTAATTGTTCTTCACTGATACAGTAATTATGGTGTAGCCATGCTAATTGTTCTCTGGATGTTTACCTGTGCTTCTTCCCTACACCGTATTGTACAGGCCCCCTGTACACAGATTTGTCACTTGCTGTGCTGTCCCCATACCTTCTGCGTTTTTCTTGCTGTTCTCCATGGCATAAACTGTTGGGCTTCTACATCCACTTTTTGATTGCCTGTCCAGGGATTTAAGAGGGGATCTAACTTTCCAAATGTTTCTTACAAAAAATGCAAGCCAAAAGTAATAGACAGAAATTTCACACAAGGCAAGATTTTAGGAGGGGAATATCACACAGCAGCTGCTTTTGATATCACTTACTCTGCTTTCTTTTCTTGCCTGCTTTATTGAATATGTTGTTCATGTTAATGTTTTAACTCCTGTAGGTATAATGACACATGTTCAGTTTTTGACATGTAGGTTTGTCTAATGTGTGTGTAAATATACACATATAATCTTTATGATTCTTTGCAGGAAATCAAATCTGCACATAAAATTGCTAAGAAGTACTCCTCCATACCGCAGATGTGGTCCAGGTGTTTGTTACGTCACTGCTATGGTCTTTGGTTTATCTGCCTTCCTGCGTACGTGAAAGTGTGCCATTCAAAAGTCAGGGCTCTGAGAACTGCATATGATGTGCTGCAAAAAATGCATACCAAAAAAATAGATCCACCTGATGAGGTAAAATAATTTAACTCCAGAATTGCAGCAATAGCTCGTGGGTTTTATTGAATGATTTATGTGTTTTACTGTAGAAGCTCAATACTAACTGTGTGTATTTTCAGGTATGCTACCGAGTACTCATGCAGCTGTGTGGACAGTATGGTCAGCCTGTGCTAGCAGTGAGAGTGCTTTTTGAAATGCAGAAGGCTGGTGTTGACCCTAATGCCATTACTTATGGCTACTACAATAAGGTAAGTATTTTTGAAAGAAGAGAAAATAAATATCCATTTTTATCCAGGCAAATAGAAGCCAGCGAAACAAGGCAGCAGTTCAGATGCAATTCTGTCATTTCTACTAACTGGAAGAAATACAAGACAGAATAAATGTGTTGTCTTTGTTTTTGTAGGTTTAGAAGTCTACTTTATAACTGCAAATGTTTGAAATTTAAGTTAATGATTTCTCACCTGACTGTTCCTTAAAATGACTTTATTTGACTTTGATATTTCTAAATAGGCTGTTTTGGAAAGTACCTGGCCTTCAAGCAATCGAGGTGGCTATTTCCTATGGATGAAAATACGAAACGTTGTTTTAGGAATAGCACAGTTTAAAAAAGCATTGAAAAAGCTACCAGCAAGTACCTCACATACAGCCATTCCTGGTAGAGTATTCACATCACTTTCTTTTTTATTTTCATGCTGATAAGAAAATTATTTCAAAAAGCTTTCTGTTGTGAATTTGATGATAAAACCATTTGAGAGAAAAAATAAGTTCTTACATAGTTTTTAAAAGAACAATGGGTTTTTTTGTCTTTGAATCCAAAATAGTACACTCTTCATTTATTGTAGCAGCTCTTCATGGAGACAAAATATGAACCTGAAATTTACTTTATTTCTGCCTGTTTTTCATGAAGCTGACTTTCCTCTTAAAACACTTCTTTGAAACCTATCTGTGCAAAGCACTGTGTAAGAGTTTAGCGATGTTGGTTGCAACTCAGACCATGTAAACTAAGGAAGTGTAATTGGGCATTTACCAAGTAACTGTCATTTATATAATTAATGGTATTTGCTTTTAACATAATCTGATTTTTAGAGATTTCTTTGCCTGAAAACACATAGCTAGAATGCATTCTTACTTTTTCAGGCAATCCCAAAAACATTTCCATAAATTCCAGAATATTTTGTTATCTTTACAATAGCAACAAGATTTTTACCCTCTCTGTAGAGATTCAGTACAGCATCTGCAGGGAAAGAAGCTGACTTTCAGCCACGTTGTACCCTCTTGATCCTGGACAGGTGCCCACTGTTACCTCCTAAACTGCATCAGAGTAAACCTCCTAAAGATGCTCTGGGACTGCAGAAGAGTTCAGGTTGTCCTGGACAAAAGACAAGGAATGTGTGTGACCTGAAGTGCTCGCTTAGTATTTATAGTGAACAGAAGCTTTCTTATCTGCTTTGTTAATTTGCTTTATTTTGGTGCTAATGCTTCATAACAACCTGGAAGAGGAACAAACCTGTCAGTGTTAAGAAAATTTGGTTCTTGAAATCAATGAATCAGACTATATTAGTTACACTTGGGGCAGTGTTTTGTCTTAAAAATGACCAGATAGTGGCTTGAATGTTTGCAGGGGGATTTTTGTGTAGTGTTGGTTATTTTTATTTTAATCTTATTTTGCAAACAAACTCATGGTTGCTGCTACATTCTTTCAACTTTTTTACTTTCTAGAGTGAAACCATAAGAATTGCATGCATTAACTCTGAGAAACGTACTACACTAAAATTAAACCATGTTTAGATGCCTCTTAGAGTTCTTGAAAAGATGTGACATTTTGATCAAATAAAGCAGGCAACAGACTCAAAGACAAGCAGTGCTTTAGTACAGTATTTAAAAAGAAATGTTGCCAATTACCCCTTTAATTTCATCCTGTAGAGCGTCACTTCAATGTTTATACTGTAAAAGCAAGCCAGTCCTTTTTCTCACTTTATGGTGGTAAAATGTTTGCTGTTAATTGGAATGTACTTGATGAGAGGCCTTTGAATTACTGTGGATATTCAATTTATTCTGTTTAATAATGTCACGCTATTAAATACCATAATAATCTTTTTCTGTCATTGCCCTGTTGTGATAGGAGGACTTTCAGACTTTGGCAATAACACATCGTTCAAAGAAGAAGCCAGGCAAGGGAAAACTTGTCTTCAAGATATACAAGAACAAAAAGAAGACAAGAGAGAGAGTGACTCCAGTTCCCGTATGTATCCTGTGAATACAGATATTTAATTCATTGTGGGTAAATAGGGATTTCAGCAAAAGCTAAGTGGGGCAGCTGATTTATTTATTTTTTTTACAGTGACTGTATGTGATAATGCCATTTTATACCCATGCCTGAAGTTCTTTTCTCTAAATGTAATTTTCTAGATGTCTCGTGGTTTAACTTTTAAAATTAGAGTTCTTTTTTCCCTTCTCTGTTTCAAATAAGTGATAATGGTAATATAAAGGTTTAATGATAATTACAGCTGAATGTTTTTGTCTTTTTAAAAAATTAAAATTGCTTTATAGGCATAATCTACAGGAAAGTCTATTCTACTAGTCTGTTTTCTTTATAAATCACATAAGAGAAGAACAGCTGAATTTTTGCAGGTCTTAGAGAACAGAGCAGGTCTCAACCACCACAAATTTTGATACACAAGTACTGGTTACTTGGAGTCTGGGTACAGAAGCTTGTGGAACTTCCAGTTATAAAAGTAACGCTGGGAATTAAATATCCATAGTTAGTTCTTCCAGCTTGAAAACCTCTGCCCACGTAGCTATCAGCCTGTGCACCATGGGATATGTACAACCTGCTGTCACTTAATCCTGCCTAAACACCTGGTAGGTAATGGAAGCTTGAGATTTAAACTGAGTTGCTTTGGCTCTAAAGAGCTGTCTGTCCTTTTCTATGTACAGTGTCCGAAGTGGAGAGCGCAAAAGGAAGCGGTGACTGCCTCCCTAAACTGAATTATCAGAGCTCAACTGACGCCAAAGCCGCTTCTAACATAGTGCGGCTCAACGGTACAGTTGACAATACTGTAGCAGAAGCTGGCACAGGTGAGTGGAAGAGAAAATACATTTTGATTCTTGTGCAGTTTTGTCTCTATATATTCAATTTCTCACAAGAGCTCTAAGTAGTGTGCCTGAGTCCACAAAACTTACAGTATTTTATTGGTGTAATGGCAGTGGCCGATGAAAGTTGTGGGAGCAACTTTAGGTTAGAGTCTGCATATTGGTTTCTCACAAGAGCTCTAAGTAGTGTGAGTCCACAAAACTTACAGTATTTTATTGGTGTAATGGCAGTGGCCGATGAAAGTTGTGGGAGCAACTTTAGGTTAGAGTCTGCATATTGTGTCAGGGAGATGCATCTGAATATTCTGCATTTCTAGATTATTTTTTTCTTGTTTGATTCCCCCTCACCCCCAATTAACATCTGCTTACAAAATCACAGGTCTTGTTTTTTTTCTTATAACCTCCAGCAACGAATAAATTCCTTCAGAATGGACAAGAGGTTTCTATGCAGTACAATTAAAAGAAATTTTCAGGCATTTTCACAAGTCTTTAGTAACTAGTCCAGTATGGTTATTATAATACTGTCAGCTGTGGTTGAAATACTGTAATATCATACTTTAAAGTCTGCATCTTTATGCTCTGGCAAAACAATGGAGACTTCTCTGACAATAACTCCTTTTGTTGGATCTATTTCTAATTCACCAGGCTAGAAAGCGTTGCTTTTTTTACCATTTCCTAGACACCTTTGTTGTCCCTAGCTTTCAAACCTCTTAATAAATGTCTCCAAAAGAGGAAGCTAAATACAGCTGAGACTTTTCTTGATTGTGTCTCCCACAGTACTCTTGTGTTGTATGATTTGACTCCCTTTTAAATGTTTTCTCATCTGACTTTTCCTAAAAGTTATGACCATGGTCAACTCCAACTTTTCAACCACTAGCACAATACATAGTGAATTCTATCTCTGTGTTGTAAACTGTTTGAAAGATGAGAATAATTAGCACTCTTTTGTAATTTTGTTTAGTTTTCTCGTTTAGCAAGAAATAAAGCACCTTGTTTCATCTGTCTTTCAGAGAGTTCTGTAGGATTGCTCTTCACATCATCTTTTGAGGAAGCCAGTGAAGCAGAAGTTATAAAAAATAAATCTTTAAGAAAGAGACATAAAAGTGCAGTAGAACCTGACTTAAGGGAGATACCATGGGAAAGCAGGAACCGTAAACTGAGTGGAGATGGCATAGTGGGACTCATGATAAATAGAATAAATCAGGAAACAAACCCTGGAGAAATGGTTGAAAAACTGGGAGCTGATGCCAAAATCCTATCTAGTGCGTTACAGAAAAGCATAAGGCCAAAAACTCTTAATATCAGAACTTCCTCTTTAGGATCTAAGAGAGAAAGCCTGGAGAAAGAATCTAGTGATGAAGATGCAGCTTTTGATTGCAGTTTTACAGACAAAACGGAGTCTCCTGTTATCTTTGATCTGGAAGACTTGGATGCAGAACCTGAAGCATCTACAGCAGTGAAATCCTCCACTGAAAAATCTAGAAGGTTTCAAAAAAAGAGCAGCTTTCCAGTAAAGCCAGTTGAAAAGACAGATGTTGAAACTGGATTTGATCCACTGTCCCTGCTGGTTGCTGAGACAGAACAGCAGAAAGAGGACGAGGAGGATGATGATGATAGAAGTGTTTCTACTCCATCTGCGAGGCGAGATTTAGCTGAAGAAATAGTCATGTACATGAACAACATGAGCAGCCCTTTGTCAAGTCGTGCTCCAAGCATTGAGTTACAAAAACCCTACGATGACAGAAATGCTAATAAAAAGAGCCCAACAGTAATCCAACCTTGTAGGAGGTCCAGCCTTCCCCCAAACTCCCCAAGGCCATCCAGTCTTACCAAATCCAAGAGTTACCATGCAAAATATGAAGAAAAGCCAAGAGACAGGCTTTGGTCCTCCCCAGCTTACTCCCCAAACAGTCCAGCCAGGGAACAGCCACAGGATGGAACCAGTGCGTTAACACTTGTGTCTTCGCCGTCATTCAACTTGGATACACTGTTAACACCGAAATTAGATGTTCTAAAAAGCAGCATGTTTTCTGCTGGAAAAGGGGTTGCAGAGAAAGCTAGCAAGTGGTACTCAAAATTTACAATGTATGCTGCATCCTCAAAGGTAAGTTTTTATAATTACTTCCCCAACCTATCCCCCCAAAACCTAAATTCCTATAAATTAAGGAAAAAGCTTTGTAAAGGTTGAATCATCGACTCCTCCATTTGAATTACGTGCGTCGTGGCAGGCTATGTGCATTAAGTTGTTTTAATCATGCTTGAATTTCCAGGATCTTAATTTTATTGTCCTGAATAAAAAATAAATCTGGCCTAGCATGGGTTCAGAGTATATTTAATAAGAAAACCTAAATATAGTAGTGTGTTGACAGGGCAAAGAAGACTGCTTTGCCTTCCTTTATTTACCTAAAGAAAAAAAATAATGGTTTTAATTCTTTACAGCTTTAATGAAAAAAAGGGAATTCTGCTAGTATTGGTTACCAAAGTGATTTAAGGCTAATTTTGAACTGAGGTCATTTGGTTAGAAAGTTCTTTGCTGCTCCCAACTCAAATCAAAACTCATTTTATTCTCATTCCTTGAGACTGAAAATAGACGCAGTTTGCTGTTGGTGTATTTTCTTAATGTGCTTAAAAGCGACCTGAGACTAATTAAAGTACCAATGATAATCAAGCCTTGCCTATCCTAATGCATTCCTATGGCTGCTCATAACTTCTGCAGCAATGGTGGGAAAAAGTTAGAGGATTAAAATGTTTAAGTTTTCATTTAGATGTTTTTATTTGGAAAATCTCTTAAAAAGAATCCTCATGTAGCTACTTAACTCTTGAGTGAAACTCACCTTGTTTCTGAATATGAATCTGACTTTTCAAGGAGGGAAGTTCATACCTTGAATTTACTGAGACAAAGAAGGCTGTCTCTTACTTTCAGAAATATTTTTGCTTGCCTTTTCTCAGTGGAATTTCTTTTTTTTTCCTCTCAGGATCAAAATTCAGACCGAGCAAGTGTTTCATCTCTTGGAGCTCTGGACTCTGAATCTACTTCTCTAACCGATGAAGATGTCTGCAATGATTTTGAAAGTGCTTCTCCTCAGGAGAATACCACATCAGAAATTAAGAGGATTGGCCTCAGCAGGACAAGCCTAGAAAGCTCAGCTTCCCATGATGGCTCATCAAAACAATTTGACCAGTGCGGTAAGAGACAGCTTTTGCATTGCATTCATCAATATGAAAAAAATATTCCAGTTTTACAAGCTCTTCTTTCATAATTCTCATTTGGGGATCATCCTAGTCGTTAGTCTCTTTTGTGGAAGAAGTAATATTTTCTTTCCCTGCCTACAAACTATTACTTATACAGATATATCCATACAGGTGGATGTTTTTATTGTAGAACCTTGTTTTGGGTGTTCTTTCTTGTGTAATGATTTGTATAGTAACATCTTGTCCCTGAATAGGTTTGAGTGCTACAGCTATGCAAATAAGAGACCCTTTAGGCCTGTCAGTATTCATGTAATCATCTTATTTGTGTAAACTGTGCAGCTCCAGAAAACATTTATAAAAACTTTCAAATGGTAACTTTATTAGTCTGATTTTGTTTTCAAAATGTAGTAAAAATCCTTTTTGGAAAATTGTTGCCGTTTTCTGTAAGCTGCTGTTGAAGCTGATTATCAGACTGACTGTGGTTTTTTCCTGATCTGAGTTGGATAATTGGTAGTGCTATTATATCAATTTCTGTACTACTGGTGTAATGGAGTACAGTGTGTTAAGCACAATCAGGCTGAAATGAAGATCCCCTAACTTAGCATCTGGAAGAGTGTGCCCAGTTTGGCACCCCAGTTTGTGGGATGTGGAGGAACTGGAGAGGAGTAGTGGAGCCTGGGGCATCCTGAGGCTGAGGGGAGCCTGGCTTGTTGAGTGTGGTGAAGAGAAGGATCAGGTACATCTGCAGTCACAAGCAGCACCTCTTATCCTTCCCTAGCTTTTATCCAGACAGAAAGTGTGGATATGAATTACTTAATCTGTAAAATTTGTTTCCAAGCTACCAACTGTTGTAAAAGAAGAAAACTGAACATATGGAAATTCTATGTTGGTAGATTTTATTTTTGCCGTTGTTGGTGCTGGGCAGATGGCAGCCTCACACTCCAGCTTCACATTTCTTTCTGTCTGAGTACATCTGATTTGTTACATCTTCCATCACACATAACTGCAGGATTGTTTGACCAGAAAAACAGTTTACTAAAAATGTATATTCTGAATAACTAATACTTTGGGTTTCTTCTGTTCATAGGTTCTCTTTCAAAGTTCCCTTTACCTGACAAATCAGAGTTGATATCTTCTTGCAGTACAAGTAGTACCAGTGTGTTTCAGAACTACGCTATGGAGGTACAAGATGATTTATTGATTTTAATTGATATGCTAAAGCATATATCTTTAAATATAAATGCTGTCTGAATCTCTGTTAAAGTTCAAAGCTTAAAACTAATCCACTGAAATACAGATGAATATTTCTGTGACAGAGTAAGTTTCATTTCAAATTATACTCTAAAAATATCTTTATTGCAGTCACTTCTGGTCCTTAAAGCTGCAGTTTTCAAGAGTTTGAGAATTGGATGCCATTGAATTAATGCATCTAAATCCCTTGCATGGTTAAATTTGTTTGAAGTGAAAATTGAAGTCTTAAATAGCACTATGCATTTAAAAATACAGAATAGATAACAAGCTATTTATTATTTTAGCTTCTAGTGAGATTGTTTTGCTTTTCACTGTTACACTGCATTTGGATCAATAACTGGTCATTTTCAGCTTTTTTGCCCATCATTTCTATTATAAGGGCAGAAGAGTGTTTAAATTCTAAGAATAATTTATGTAGGTGTGTAAATAGTCCTGTTTGCAAACACATTACAAATTACATGTTACTCTTAATAAAAATATTATTGAATAACTAGCTGGTTTTACTCTGGGAAGCCACAGAAGGATCGAGGGGAGGTTTAGATTAGGTATTAGGAAGAAATTCTTCACTGTGAGGGTGATGAGACACTGGAACAGGTTGCCCGAGGAAGTTGTGGATGCCCCCTCCCTGGAAGTGTTGAAAGCCAGGCTGGATGAGGCTTTGAGCAACCTGGTCTAGTGGAAGGTGTCCCTGCTGCTGGCAGGGGGGTTGGGACTGGATGAGCTTTAAGGTCCAACCAAACCAGTCTGATTCTATGATTCTATGATCACCTAACCCACTTAGCTAAAGTATATTTATTTCACAAGCACAGTTCCACCTCCCAGTCTACTTGTTACTGTAGACAGTAGCAAGTCTGCAAAGACCTGCATTTAATAAATATTTATTGTAATGTTCATTCCAATCAGCTGTCTGCTAATGCAGTTTGGATTTAAGATTTAGTATTTATTTTGAAATACATAAACTTAAACCCAAATGTTCCAACCTAAAGCTTAGGCACAGGTATGTGACTGAACTTGTGTGGAAGCGGTGAGCAGTATTCATCTAAGGGCAGAGATTCTGGCTGTAGTTTGAACTGCTTTGTAAAAGAAGAGTTTTGAGAATGTGTAATAGCAGAGTTCTGTTATCTGCTGTATGCAGGTCCTCATCTCGAGCTGCTCACGATGTCGAACCTGTGACTGTTTGGTTCATGATGAAGAAATCATGGCAGGTTGGACAGCAGATGATTCAAACCTCAATACCACGTGTCCTTTCTGTGGCAATTTATTTCTGCCTTTTTTAAGTATAGAAATCAGAGATCTCCGGCGACCTGGACGGTAATAATATTCTTTTCCTCAATTTTGAATGCTCATAATTGTGAAGTGGTTTTTATTTGGTTTGTAGATAACATTAAGCTTTTGCTTTCCATTTCCCTGCAGTTATTTTCTGAAGTCCAGCCCTTCTACAGAAAACATGCAGTTGCCATCACTTTTTGCGAATCAGAGCAGCAAGTCCTTTAACACTGCAGCTACTGTTGGCCTTGCTACATCTCTGATGTCTGTTCAAGAGGATATAAATTCAAATGGGTAAACCTGCATTTTCTGCTTAGAAATTACTCTAGTTCTCTGTGGATGTGCATGTATTCCTCATCAACAGAAATAAATTTAAGATGATACTATCTGAAGAGGAGAAATTGATTTGAGAGAGAATCTCCTTGCTGCCTCTCCCTTATCTCTAAGTTGGCCACATTGTGCTTTTTCAATATGGAGTTTACCATTTCATCCCTAATATAAAAATTCATGTAGGCATCTGTAATTCCGCAGATTTTGTGAACTCTTCTAGGATGTTTGTGTTCATTATCAGTGCAAGGGGGAATAAAACTTGCAGTGTAGCATGAATGAGTGTGGTGGCTGACAAGGTAGAATCTGAGGTGTCAGGTCGATTATTCCCAGTTTATTTCTGTCTGTTTGTGTATATGTTTGAGCACTCAGAGTAAAACAAAAAGATGAGATTCTTAACTTTTTTTTTTTTTTTCTTGCCCTAGCAAATCTAAGCAGCATGACAATATCTGTGCCAGAAGTATCCAGATCCCCTCAGGAAGAAGACAAAATACCTCTGGGTCAGAATGTACAAGTCACCCTGTAGCGAGGAGTATCAGTACTTTTGGTCCATTGGCAGAAGACGAGAAGGAAAACCAGAAGATCAGCCATATCATTCCTACTGGTAGCCTGCCTGCTACTTTGCAAGGACCAACAGTGTGTAGTTTTTCTACCTTAAATGTCATTTTTTTTTTAAAGTGTGCAATAGATTAGAGAAATGTGAAACAGCTTTAATTAGGAGAACAGAATTAACCATCCCAAATTACGAGAAATACTAGATTTTATTATTTAAACTAATACTAATTGTAGCTATTAGATGTTGGTGCATCTCATGGGGGACAAAAGCATTCAGAAGAATTTTTGTAAAGATAGTTACATACCAACTAATGGTATTTTTTTTTTCTTTTTTACCATAGGATTCCTTGGGCCTAGAATGGCGCTTACCTAGTCCTGATCCTATAACGGTTCCTTACCTCAGTCCTCTAGTGGTATGGAAAGAGCTTGAGAGTTTACTTGAAAATGAAGGGGATCACGCAATAACAGTGGCAGACTTTGTAGATCATCATCCTATTGTGTTCTGGAATTTGGTGTGGTATTTCAGACGTTTGGACTTGCCCAGCAATTTACCAGGATTAATACTTTCTTCAGAGCACTGTAATAAAAACTCCAAGGTATGGAATTAGATAGAAAGTACTGACATGTGAGGAATGCTTGTTTTCCCATATAGGAAATCATTAGATAATTCAGTAACTCTTAGAAATGTGTCTTACAGTGTGCTGGGCCCAGTCCTGAATTGGTAAAGAATGTGTCAACTGAGGGAAAACATGCGTAACCCATACTTGTGCGGGTTAAGGGTTTAGCTCTTTCTAGTCACACTGTAATTTGTGATCCTCAGTTACAAACAAGATAAGTTTCCAGTTGGTTTTATTGTAGTTTGACTAGTGAAGCAGTAGAAGGAAGAGGAAGTTATGATTTTAAGACTGTAGGAAGATACACAAAATACTCATTTGCTACGTCACTGACATCATCCCATGCAGCTTTAGCTTTCTCTGGTTTTACAGCAGTTGTAATATTAAAGCTATTTACCATGAGACCTGTAGATGTGAAGATATGTTTTAAATACAGAAGTCATCTGTCATGATTTTATAATAAAATATCTTTATATATGCATTCTCCTGTTCAGATTCCACGGAACTGTATGTCAGAGGACAGTAAATATGTTCTTATTCAGATGCTATGGGACAATATGAAGTTGCATCAGGATCCAAGGCAGCCTCTGTATATTTTGTGGAATGCTCAGAGTAAGCTTTGCTTCTTGTGTGTTTTGTTTTATTTTGTTTTTTTTTTAAAAAGAACAATTTTCATTTTGAGCAACTGAAGAATGTGTTTTGAAAAAAGATGTCTTTCTGGATAGTTCACCCGAGATACAGAACTGATTTTTGATCACAATACTTTTTGTCTTGCAGGTCAAAATCGCACTCTTTTGTTTGAGAGTGAGTGTTAAATTTGGTATTGCTATTCTAAGTTTGTGTGACTCTGGGAGGGAGGGAGGGAGGGTGGTTTTACGTTGAGTAAAACTGCTCAAACATTTAGTTTTCCAGTGTATCTGTTTCAAATCATTGACCAGTATCTCCAGTGGCTTTTTTTCATTGGGAAGGGAGGAATAAGAGGGAATATGTTTCAGTGATACGCTGAACTTATAGTTCATCCACTTAGCTTGTTTTCTTATTTTCAGAATGTGCTTACTAAGGATTTTGTTGCCAGTGTTGGATCATATGCTTGAAAATAGCTCATGACCCATTACAGCTCTTGAGTTTTCTCCTGTGTGCTTTTTGTGTTTCTTATGTTGATATTATTTTGACTTGATGTTTTATTGTTCTTTGTTCACTCCATATTTGTCAATATTTTCAGTTTGTATAGCCTCCCACCTTTTTTTAAAAACTTTCTACTTGCTACACAAAGAATATATTGATTCTTACAGCATTTCTAATGTTTTTCAGCCCAGAAGTATCCAATGGTCCATTTACTGCAAAAAGATGATGACTCTTTTAATCAGGAGCTCTTGAGAAGTATGGTGAAAAGCATTAAGATGAATGATGTCTATGGACCAATGAGTCAAATATTGGAGAGACTGAACAAATGGCCACATATTAAAAGACAGCGGTAAGGATACAAACATGCCTAACTGGAGCAAAGTTGGACAACAATAAGGCTGTTGTAATATGAATTATATTTTCATAGTGTGTTTTTTAAAGAAAAAACTGTATATGTGGGAGTCCAGGGCATTCTCCAGAGGTCAGAAATGACAGCGTTTCGGAGGTGCCAGTCAGGAGTTATGTTCAAAATGCCAGTTTTTAAAAACAAGTTATCTCTAAATGCTTCAATCTATTTTTAATATAGATTGATTTGTGATGTATTATTGCAGTATATAAATTGACATTTCTCTTTACAATTTCAGGAGTCTTTACAGAGAAATACTATTTCTTTCACTTGTTGCCCTAGGAAGAGATAACATTGACATAGGTAAGTTTTATAAATTATTCAAATCAGCATAGATGATGAATGTATGCAAACTAGGTTTTCAGCTTCCAAAAAATATATAAATCTGTAGATTTGCTGTGTGCCATTCTATGGTAAGTGCTGAATAAGAAAGGACTTTACAGTTATTTTCTGCTGATAAGCATACTAGCTGTCAATGTATTTGGGTTGTGGTTTTGAGCACAGCATATAGAAATTGTTTTTCTATTTCTGCAGATGCTTTTGACAGAGAGTACAAAATGGCCTATGATCGTCTCACGGCTAATCAAGTGAAGAATACTCATAATTGTGATAGGCCCCCAAGTACTGGAGTGATGGAATGCAGAAAGATTTTTGGAGAACCATATCTTTAAATATACCTAGATCAAGAGGTGATATCTATGATGTATACCTGTGTAAAATAACCACTTCAGTCACAAGGAACATCTCAGTCTTCAGTGTTCAAGAACATATGTACGAATGTACTATGGCAGAAGGCCTTGGAAAAATCAGGCCTGCCTACAGTTGTGGAAATGGACAGAGTGAAAAATGGGCCAAATATTATTTCCCTATCCCTTGTCCTTTCTGCAAATCAGTGTGTAGAAAGGAAGATTCTAAACAAAATCAATTCTTTAACTTGGGACAACGTATTATAGTTCCCTTCTTAGAAAAAAAAATAAATTAAATAACAGGTGAACAGAAACAATGCACTGAAACTAATGTGAGCGAAGTAAATTCTTCAAAATCTATTGTTTACATAGAATATTCATGATGTTATGAAGCGCATACAAAGTTGTATTATACATATTTTAAATTGTTTATAGTAAGTTGATATTTTTTTAAATTACTGGAGTGAATTTTAAATGGACTTGCTGCAAAAGCAATACAGTGCTTATTTTTTTTGCAGTACACTGCTATTTATAGTAACTAGTCCAGTTACTTTTTGAAGAGTGATTTGTTTTTAAAGCAGAATATGTTAACCTTCACCTAGACAATACTCTAGATACAGGATTTTTCTCATGCACACATGCAAAACGTGTTACTACAGCAATCAGAAGGGAGGTATGGTAAACTTCTGTAAAACTCTACTAATGAACACACTGATGTCTCTGTAAAACACTTCCAGAGAAATCTCTTCTTCCTCTCCTTTCCCTTCACTCCCCACTCCCTAGTAAAGAGAAAGCATATTGAAGAGTCCTAACAGATTGTTATGTGGAATCAGTCCATCTCAGCTGTTGGCATTTGTTAATGTGACCTCATTACAGGTGTAATACAAAGCAAATGACAGCCTGCAAGAAGTTCTTTGTAAACACCCCCTTGTTGAGAGTCTTGGTGGATGTGTTTGAAACACACTAAATATGGCACGTACATAATGCTAATCCAAAGCTTTCAACTAAAGTAGATCCAGCAAACTTGCTCCAGGGAATATATAGGGAATGTAACTTATTAGGGCATATTGTGCATAGTTAAATGTACTCAGAATGTTTGGTCTTTATTTCACAGGCAAAACAACCTTTTTTTTTTTTCCCTGTGAAGAAAAACGCTCTGTTTGTCCTTGTGGTGGTGTCACGGCTTTTGACTCATGTTTTCTTGTTCAAGAGATTTAAAAAAAAACATTCTGTGTTCTCAGTCACATAGCAACTCTTCACCAGAAGGTAGGCTACAGGGAAAATATCAGAAGTCTTGTATGGAGGTGGGAAAACAGACACTGAATTGTGTAAAACGCCCTAAACAAGTTAAACTGTGTTTTAACAAAAAGCTTTATTTTAAGTAACCTTAATGGTTTTCCAATTTTAATTTCATTTAGTTGTTGCTGTTATAATACTTCTAAATATTCAGCTGTTACATTAGATTTTATATTTCAGTCTGCCTACAGGCAGATATTTTTAAAAATCTCCTCAGTTTGCAATTGTAATAATACAGCAATATTTAGTTAGGCAGAAAGGAGATAAACTTTAAAAGTCACATGTACTTTATTAAATTAAATAGGTGAGCCTCTTGCAGGCTTAAACGAGAAGTAATGCTGCTACGAAGCTCTGTGTAACCTCCTCCCAGACCTCTGTAAAGTAGCAAGAAGACGCTGCCCTAAGGAGAAAGAAAGGATTTAACATTGGTAGAGCTGCAGGTATATGCTGATGATAATTGCAAGATACAGTCTTGTTGAATACAGCCTTTGTTGGGTAATACCTATTCTCTAATTTGCTGCTAATTATGTAGCTGACTTTTTTGAAAGTATCTCCCCACCCTGAGGTGGAGCTAGCAATGCTACACTTACCAACATTTTTCACCTTTAATTTATTTTAACAGTTTGTGATGCTCTCTTTTGTACTGCCTCGCTTGTAAAGTATTCCTCATGCATGAAATATAGCTACTTTTTTCACCCAGGTAGGTGGTGAGCAGTGTATCAGTGTAGGGTGGATACATACCTCCTTCATTCTTCTGAACTATTGTGAAAAACACCAGGTTATATTTTTTAACATCCTCGTTGTAAGTACCTGTTAGTGTGCATATATGCTCTGCTCTGTACAGTAGGTACGCTGTATTTACCAAGTAAAAGTTGCATATGGTAGTTGCTGTGTATATAGACTCATACCTGTTTGTGCTGTGTGTAAGGTAATGTTCCTAGCTCTCTGCAGTTCTGTTTCCCATGTCATTTACCACTTGGGGCAGCCACTGTTTTATAGGACCTTCAAGCCATGAAGGAAGCCAAGTGCTTTTTCCAGAGCTGCCGTGGTGTGTTAGAGGTACCGAGCTATGAAGCGAGCTTCGCACTTCCTATTTTAGTCTGGCAGAAGCGACTGAGCCTGGTCTCTAACCACCTCTCACTTCCTGGGACCTAACACTGCAAACTGCGGGTGCTAGCACAGGAACAGATGCAACACTTGTAATACCTGGCCCACTTTCTCCATTCTAGTCCCAGCTTAGTTGTAAGTACTCCCAACTGTCTTCAAAGTCCAACAAGTTTGCCACTTCATTCAAATATCAACAGTCCTGCCAGTATTATCAGAAGAGTATATACTGTACCATGAAAAGGATTGTATATGCATCCTTCAAACAATCTTACCGTGTTCTCGCCTCCTCAGAGTGGCACTCCTGAAGCATTGCTGATGTTTATTTGGGTGTGCTTTTAAATTACTGTATCATGTAGCAGTTCATCAAGTGAAATCATTATACTTAATGAATGGCTTTATAAAGTCTGTTGCAAGTCAGTCCACCGTAGGAATACTATAATAAAATATAGTTGGAATAGTGATATCCTTTAAGTAGGAAATTTTCCTCCTTCAAGTCATAATGATGTTCAAAGCATAAGTCTTGAGGTGGATAATTTCTAAGTGATTCAATGTTGAAACAGTTTTCAGATCTCACTGTCCTTTATTAGAAAAGCAATTTGAGTATATTTTCCAATACCGCAAAGATGGATAAATAAAATATTTGAGACGTATTTTCAATTTAAAATTTTGTATGAACTGAATTTTCTCCTTTTGTGTACTAAATAATGCTTATGTCAAAAACCTTAAAGAAAGGTTTTACATTTGCAGTGCAATATATATTTTGCTTTACTTATTGTTCCACTGGAATAATTATTGGAGATGAAATACTGAAATGTGAATAGAACTTGTGCTGTTTCTCTGACACTGCTAACTGTTTCCCATTTTGAGAAGGTTTGCTGTTGGTACAGTTACAGCCTGATGAATTAGACTTCCACTGGCAAATTAAATGATTTATACCCCAAGGAAAAGAAAATTCCTGCATGTAAGATCTTTGTATAACAAATAAGAGATGCAAATAGTAATAACGGAGAGGGGTATTTCTGGATATTATCTCACTGGGATTTAAAAATGGTACTTTGTTAGTCTGCAAGCAGCACTTTTTAAATGAATGGTTGTAGATTTGTAAATATGTAATGTTTAAATTTTATTTACCAAAAAAACCAGGATGTTGGATGTTTGCTTTGGTTTGTAGTTCCTTTAAAATATGCAGGTCAGTGTTCACAATGTTAAGTTGTTTGGTTTTTTTTTTTTTCCTGTCTCATCCAAAAAAAAGAAGTTTTACAGTGAGTCAATAAAAAGCTTAAAATCTTTCTGGTTATTTTCATTAACATTTTATTAAATGGATTAGAATGACAGAAAAGTCTGCAACTCTTTAACTACATTGTTTGCTGCCATGAGGCATTCATTGTTAACAATAAACCTTTCAGGTTTGTTGATAGTTGATGTCAGTGGGTTTGGTTTTATTTTTGTGGTGGTTATGTAGAAGACAGTGCTAACAACAAGAATTAGTGCTGGATACAGTAGTCTGTAAATTTCAGAGATTAGTATCAGGATGAAAACAAAACTCAAGCAGTTCAACATTTTCTTGTTGTATTTCTGGTTCCTGGTTTTAGTTTTTGAGTGGTAATGTGGTATTCTAATCCCAGATCCATTTAAAGACGTAAATCTGTGTGACATCACACTTGTACTGGTGGCACTTACTGTAAATTTTAGGGATTCTCGTGCAAGATCAGATGCAGATTTAAAAGGAGCTGTGTGGGTAGTTTTCAGGCTTGCTGTGCAACTCTCAAATCCTGTGTTCTCCTGCATGCAGGAATAACTGTTGCTGCTTTGTTTTTTTCCCTGAAAACCTTAGTGTTACATTTCCCACAGTCTTCACAAGGCCAGCAAAAAGCATTTCCTCTGAAGTGCATCGCACGTTCTGTGTGCATTTTCTTGGAGATACGTGTAGAGTACCAGGTGTAGATGCTTTGTCATGGCATTTGTGAAAGGATGGAAGCTGCCTCTGCGTAGGGAAGTCATGGCAAACTACCCGCAGCACAGACCTCGGAACCGCCGCGCTCATCGCTCTTATGCACTTTGAGGGAGTTCACTTCTGAGATCAGAATGTGAATGAATCCACACAACGATTTTTAGCAGAGTAGTTCTGTAAGGGTAAGTAGTTAATGTCCGATTCTGTGCCCACTGAAGTGAACTTCACTGATTTCAGTGAGTTTGAGCAGTTTACTAAGTAATTTAGAGCGTTTTCCTGAAAATGTTACTATAATAAGTAAACATTCTGTGCTGAATATCAGTCAGCTCCCTTAAAGTGAGGGGATCAGCCATACTGAACACTTCAGGCATCTATACCGTATCAGTCTTTCCACAAATGCCTAAGTATGTATGTTATTTGATAGTGGTCACTTCTTTAATTGACCTCTTGTGATCATAAAGAAAAACAATAAAGGGTGACATACCACTTGAGACTTATTTTTATTTTTTTTTAGTATGTTAAAGATATTTTATTCTCAGTAAGTTTGTTAACAATTCTGGTTGCCTTTTTTTTTTTTCAGTAGAACAATTGCTACCTTAAACCCATTTTGATGTATGCTTACATACATCTGGAAATGTCCGAATGTCATACAGATACTGGGCAGGATATTATCCTGTCTTCTAACATCACACTGATGATCAGGAACACAAAGTAAAGAGCAAACATAGTGAGCCCCAGTAGTTTGTTCATTTTCCATTTACATGTAGCGATTGAGATAATGACGAACAGGAGCATGAGAAAAAGGAGAACAATTGCACAAAACAAACCATTGCTACTGACTGCAACTGGGCTGAGGCTGTTGATGACAGAATAGAGGAACCAAGGAACCGGCAAACTGCAAGTAAAGGAAAAGGAATTGAAATAAATGTTTGAAAGCAGTTAATTTTCTGCATCATAACTAAGCAATTTTCCTGAACTGTTACCAAAAAAAAAAGCATGATTGCATTCAGTATAACTCAGCATAAATCTAAAATTGATGTTGTTTGTGTCAAAAACTGCATTTGGATAATACTTGTGCAATTATAATGCAATCCAAGAATCTAAAAAGGTTTTTTTTAAAATAGTACCTATGAATTAAGTGTCTTGGTGTGCTATTGTAAAAATGTCCT